GGGGGGGGGGCTGCTCCTGGCAGCGCCACCGGCCCCTCCGGACATCGACCGCGAAAACGAAACACGTACGCCGTGCGAGAGGAGAAGGGGAGGCGGGGGGCTTAACCTCACTTTGCGCAAGCCACCCGGAGTATACAACACGGCCAAAACGGGGTTCTGTGTGCGGGCCCTGGCTAAGGTAAAAGAAGGGAACACATATTTAAGCTTTGTCAAAAATCTTACAAAAATAATCTTTAAACAAAAACTAAAATAACTCGAAACACTTTTATTTTTCTCTTGTTAGAGTAGATTCGTCAACATGGGAGCCCCATGGGATTCAGTGGAAGAAAACATGTTTACTTTGTCGAGATGAGAGAGAGTCTCATTTTTTTCCAAAGTGTTTTATTCTGTAAATGGAGAGAATTAGTTTTGGTCATAGAATGGAAACGTTTTCGTGCACATCCAGTATAAGGACAGTTTAGTCTCACGAGGGAACCCTGTACAAAGTATGTCCTATAATGTGACAGATATGTCTCTGATCTGCATGTGCACGAAAACGTTGCAACGGTCCACGTCAAAATTGTTGCCATACGCTGCAAAACCAACTATACTTGGTACACACAAGGGAGAGTGTTCTTGCAAGAACACACATGTAAGTGTATACTTACCATGCTCACGCAAGAAAGAACTAGGGTAACAAAGCTGAACATATAATGCCAAGAAGTGCCAAGTACACACTTACACGTGTGCTTGCAATTTCACTCTCTCTTTTGTGTACTAAGTACGCCGTTGGGTTTGCAGTGCACGCCAGATTCTACTTGCCTTAAAATTGCAATATATTCAGCATAGTTTTTCGTCCATCATAGCATAATATTACGACCCCCATTTCGTAACTTCACTCGAACATCAGATAGCTGACGCCTGATATTAACCATTTTTTCTTTTTTTTCGATTGCGTGCATTTTTATAAGGAGCAAAAGCAAAGGGTGTGATCCTGGAAGTAACCCCTTGACTGCATATTCAAGGCTCTCAAAATTGTGACATCATGACCTTGATCCAATGATACCGTTTCGACAAGCGATATCCTGATACATCATTGGCAATGTATCTCTAAAGTTAAAAATAAAACAAAAAAGTTTCTCGAGTTCGAGTTTGCCCCCTTTCTTAATTACCGTAGGCAGGTAAGCTAAGGCTGTAAGCTGTGTAGACTGCCGAATAAAAAACCCAAACGTCATCAGCTGAATATAACGCCTAAACTCTTCCAGCTCCGTCACTCACTCACTCACTCACTCACTCACTCACTCACTCACTCGCTCGCTCGCTCGCTCGCTCACAACAGGACGGGGGTCCCTCTCGAGATTCGACACGGCTGCGCCCCACCGGGAGAGTCGAACAGGGAACAGTACTTTACTCATCATCCAAACTGTGGCTCAGCCGCACACAGCCGCGCAGAGTCCCGCGCGCCATCCCATAGCTGCTGAGGAGGGGCAGAGCGAGGCAGAGCGAGGCAGAGCGAGGCAGAGCGAGGCAGAGCGAGGCAGAGCGAGGCAGAGCGAGGCAGAGCGAGGCAGAGCGAGGCAGAGCGAGAGAGAGCGAGGCTGCCGAGACCGGGCCGGGCGTGCTCAGAAATCAATAGCGCGGGGGTTGCCCCAGCCAGCAGGCTGGGGCCGAGGCATAGCCGTGCGGGCCGAGGGCCTCGGCCAGGGCCTCGGCAGGGCCGGGGCCTGCCCAGACCGGCCCACCCTGCTGCTGACGGGCGCACGGCCGCGCCGGCGCGTCGCGCAGCGGCGGACGTACAGGAAGCTGACAGCTCGAGCCGGCGTCAGGATGGCCGCGCACCATAAACATCAACCAACAACAAAAATTAGCTGGTAAAAAGTGAAAAGAGCATGAGTCCGATGGGAAGTCCGATGACTTACGCCCTTTTTCACTTTTTACTAGTAATGAAATTAGCTGTGGAATAGGAATAGGCCGCGCGTTTTCCACATATCATTTCAGTCGACATAGGCAAAACAAGAATAATTGATTCAAGTATGACAGTTTTTTTTTTTTTCAATGGTACCGAAGTAACGGTTGCTTTAAATTTATGGAGGGCATCATTGGGTCCGGAGCGCTCTGTGGTTGATTGGAGCCATTGGGCGCGCGTCCTCGCGGCAGCAGTAGTGGTGCACAGTGCAGCCGCAAACAGCCGCCTCCCTCCCGCCCTGCTGTTGTGCCGCTCCCTTAATGACCCGCCGACATGCAGGGCCCTTTAATTGTGGCCGCGATATAGTAATTGGCCAACGACATGCTCCTCTAGAGAATGAATTGAACGCCGCGGCGCGCTAATCGCGAGGATAAACACACGCACGCACACTCACACACATAGAAAAAGAGGTGGGGGGGGGGGGTGTTATCAGCTGGCGAAATCACAACTCGTCCTGGAGGTCTTTATTGGCCCCTCTTCTCTCTCACACACACACACACGGGGCGCCCCTTCATGCCCCATTGCGCCGCCCCGCCCCTGTCGCGCCCCGGGTCTCAGCTGTCCCATGTGTTGTTGTTGTGGGGGGAGGGGGACGGTCACCCAGCATGGCCGTTGACGAGGCCCCCAGGGGAACCACCCGTTCGTGCCGCTCTATCAATAGAGAGCCGAGCTCTGCTTAACTGTTAGAGGGGACGTGTTGGTGGGGGGGGGGGGGGAGACGAGGGGTAATCTAGGTTTTATTTGTACGTAATTTTTACTGCAATGATGTATACGGTTGGTTAGCCTAGGCACACACACCAAAAAACAAGGTCGTGCAAAGTATTCTCCGTGTACGCTGCCGCGCTGCTATGAGTGCAGCAAAGGGGGCCACAGCAGCCGACGCCCTGCCTCGAGTGCTCAGGCCCCGTGTGCATAGGCCAGCCCGCAGCACGGGCCTGTCGAGCGGGCTGGCCTATGCGCCGGGCTGCAGGGGCACAGGCGGCCCGGGCGGGCGTCGCAGGCCCACATGGCTTCCGAAAACGTCGCAGTGGGAGTGAGCAAAGCTCGCCCCAGGTCATAGCTCTCTCTCACTCACTTTTCGCTTTAATCGGACTCTAGCAGAAACGCTCGGTATCATCGCCCGGTACACTCTAAACGCCTTGCCTTGGTCACCTTGCTTGACAAAATTTTGGCCATTCCTTATTGAATGTGGAATTTCAGCCGACTTTAGAGACTTTACATTTTTGTCCGCTTTGATTGTCAAATTGAATCTCCTTTTCAAAGAGAGACCCGGAGGGTCAAATTTTAGTAAGAGGCAAAAAATTGGCAGTCTCTGAAATACGGCCAAAATTTTGTGTTCAAAAAGTAATGCCCAATAATTTGGCAAGCTAGGCGACCACGGCGTTTCGACTGCAAGTGTTATGGAAACTTCGCACAGTACAAATGTTGCCTGTAAAACGCACTGCCAAGTGGACGTGGACGACCCGCCTGTCAGGGGGAAACATTTGCATCAGAGAATCAAACCAGCGCCGGTGCGATTCCGAGTCGTCTGATTATGTCAGCCCCGGAGGGCTGAGCCCCCCCGCGTCTCATTGGACTGGCGCGCCAACCCGAACGCCGTGGGCCCCTCGTGACACCTGTCTCATCCGTCACGCCGAGACAACCGCGGCACCGCGCCCGTCAGCGACCGGCCGAACGCCCC